GCTTGCAAAGCATAAATTTAAAGGGCACCCAAAATCTCAATAATCAAGACAAATAATGTTTCAATACAATAATTTGAATTATTATCATCAATTTTTTTGCAATGGTGGAAATCAAACCCAGAACCTTCCAAAGACTAGGCAAGCACTTTATCACTGAGCTACCTCCCCAGCTAATGAGATGCTTTTAAAAAATCAAAATTAATGCAAAAATCCATAGTGAGGGGATGTGGCTCAATCAGTGGTAGAGCTCATGTGTAGCAGGCACAAGGCCCTGGGTTCCATCCCCAGCTCCAAAACAAATTCCATATGACTAAAATATTAAAATTCAAAATAGAGAGAGCCTCTACCAGGGACTCAGATCAGCCTGGTGGCATGGGGGTTCTTTGTGGGCTTATCCCTTCTGAGCTGAATTCCATATTCTGGAATTGGTTGAGTCCTGCTCATTATTTTTCCCTTCCTTGGGCTCTTATGAAGCTGACCCCTCCTGCCTCCTTCTTCTCCTTCAGTTAAATTCCAAATGAAGACTCTAGCATCTGGGCAATAAATATTTCCCTGCTGAACAGAGAGAGCGCCTGGGCCAGCTGGGCCCTATGCATGCCGCTGCAATCCTGCCATTGCTCCTGAAGGGACCCCACATGGGGACAGCCCAGGGGCCCTCCTGAGTGGGAACCTCTTCCCACCAAGAGGTTGACCTTATCAAGAGTGTAGGACAGTCCGAAGAGGGTGTCCACGTGCTATTCAGGTGGTCAGAAGTTGGCACGTGTGCCTACTCTGTAATGGAGTGACCTCAGGCACTTGCCAAAAGGAAGACAGCACGTTCAGCTTGTGCTGAAACTCCAGATGATGAAAGATTTCGCCTGAGCCCAGCAGGCTCTTGGCTTTGCTCATCCTTCCCAGTGCCCTTGGCTCTCAGTTCCCTGGAAAGTGGCTGGTTGCAGCCATCGGGTGTGAGCGGAGCTGGAGGAGCAGCACAGCAGGCGCCACGGAGGGGGACGCTTTTCGCTTTTCTACTGGGCACACAGCCCGAGTGGCTAGTGGCAGAGCATGCCTTGGGCTCCAGAAGCACAAAGTGGCCCAACTCAGCAGATCACCATCCAGGGACAGGAATAGTTAAACTCTGCCTCTGGGGATTTAGCCATGGGGATATAAAGGATCCTTCTATTTAGCAGCCAGGAGGTCATGCTGTGGTTATTGTCACCCACTGTCAGCACATGACAGGGCTTCGAGCATGGGAACCGATTATTATTTCCCAATGATGATTATGCTTCGAATCTGCTGCAGGCTGTGAGATTCAGAGTCACCAAATCTCCTGGTTTGCCTGGGTCCCTGGAGTTTCCCTGGGGTTTTGGACTTTGAATCCAAACACTAGAAAAATCCTGGGCAAATTGAGATGAGGTGGTCACTCTGTTTTGACCCCATTCTTGCAGGATTCCCTTCAAACTTTATCTTTTCTTTCCACACATACAAAATCGAGAGACGAATAAAATCTGCTGTCCTGACTTTGTAAATATTTGTGGGACTCAAAAAAAGAAGGTCTGGGGCTGAGGATATGGCTCAGTTGGTAGAGTGCTTGCCTTGCATGCACAAGGCCCAGCTACTTGGGAGGCTGAGGCAAGAGAATCACAAGTTCCAAGCCAGGCATGGTGGCACACACCTGTAATCTCAGCTACTTAGGGAGGCTGAGGCAGGAGGATTGCAAGTTCAAGGCCAGCCTCAGCAACTTAACAAGGCCCTAGGCAACTTAGAAAGGACATCTCAAAATAAAATAAAAGAGCTGGGCATGTAGTCCAGGGGTAAAGAGCCCCTGGGTTAAATCTTCAATACCCAAATAAAATAAATAAATAATAAATACAATGAATGAATGAATTTGATCAAATAAAATACAATGGGCTGGGTGTAGCTCCGTGGCCTCGCTAAGATTCCGCTGCACCTTGGAACTCTGGATCAGAGCACATCCCACTGCTGACAGGCTTCTATAGGTCAATCTTCCTCTAGGTTTGAGCTCTTTGAGATCAGGACCACTTTATTCATCTGAGCACCCTACTATGCTTGGCAAAAGGCAGAAGCTCAGGCAATCTGTGCCAGGACCAAAGCTTTGCATAAAGCAAATCACTCTGAGTGCTCCTTTGCTTGGTGGCGCGCTCCTTTCCTGGCCTGCTCTTGCTTAGCTCCAGGAAGGTCCTTTATGCGTTTAGACCAGCAGGTCTCCCCTGAGCAAGCTGTAAGGAGTGCAGCCAGGCGACAGGGGCAGGAGGCCAGGACACTGCCTTGTTCAAGGTGGGGCTGTGGGGCTGGGGGACCAGGCAAAAGTTGAAAGGGCAGTGAGAGAACCTGGGAGCACTTTGTGGGGGAGGCTAGGGACAACCACAGCAGGGAGGAGAAGGCCTTCGCCATCCTCCAGGCTTCAGGGGTCCATCCCCAAGCTGGGCTTTACCCAAATTCCCAGGCTCAGAGCAGGGCCCTCAGCAGCCTGCCTCCCTAGCTCTTCCCAAGGCTGGCACTCCCCCAGCAGGGCCCTGCAGCACTGCCTTCCCTGAAGGTCAGCCAGACCTTGACATGCTGAGCTGTCCCCTTGGCCTGGACACAGCCCAGCTCTGTAGCCTGATCCCTCCTGGGCATCAGCCCCAAACCTCAGTCCTCTTTCTGTCTCTGTCTCTTGCCTCTCCGATTCCCGCCCTGGGCCTGCTTCTTTGCCTATAGCTTCCTGGAGGTATAGGGTGGCTCTGCAGGGCCACCCAAAGTCCCAGCCTCAGTCCTAAACCTCTGACCTTTGATCTCAGCTGAATGGTCAGGAAATCCCCCCTCTGATCCTTGAGAGTCTGTACCCAGAGGCACCATCCCATGTGTCCTTCAAATCTTGGCTGAACCCATTTTATTCTCTAGCTGGCACATCCTTTCAGGAACAAGAGTGCTAGGGACACAGACATAGCCCCCATCTCCAGAGAATCCTCAAACTGCTAGAATGGAAGAAACCCCAAGTCGCCTGCATTCAGGTAGGTTAGATGGTATTGTCTGAAATTCATGATAAGGTCTCCTAGGCTCAGAAAGGGCGAGCAAGCTCCTCAGTGTCACACAGTAAAAGAATGGTCTACTCCTGTGCCACCTACCTGAACTCTCCTTTTTCCGTCTGGATGATTTCTTCTCCGTCTCACTGGCCGTGCTCCCAAGCACCCCGTAGTCCTCGCCTGGGCCTCCCATGGTGTCTACCAGGCCTGGGCTGCTGGCTCCCATCTCCCTGGAGCCTCCAGCTGGGCCCAGGTTGAGCCTCTGCCGGGCCTCGGAGACAGGGAAGTGCCAGTCAGGAGGCTGCGGGAAGGCGGGGTGCTGCTCAGTGAAGAGGCGCTCCTCTTGGGGTAGGCTGTGTGGGGTGGCCGCCAGGCAAGAGGCCGAGAAGTCGGGGTAGGCAGCTGAGGCTGTCGCTGGGAAGTCTGGTTTCTGGTGGAAGGAGAATGGGGTTGGCGGGTAGTGGGGTAGCCCTGAGGCCCCCGTGCCTTC